GTAGAAAGTAAGGATCAACTACTATAGTATAAGGTAAGGATCAACTACTATAGTAGAAGGTAAAGATCAACTACTATGGTAGAAGGTAAGGGTCAGCTACTATGGTAGAAAGTAAAGATCAACTACTATAGTAGAAGGTAAGGATCAACTACTATAGTAGAAGGTAAAGATCAACTACTATGGTAGAAGGTAAGGGTCAGCTACTATGGTAGAAAGTAAGGATCAACTACTATAGTAGAAGGTAAGGATCAACTACTATAGTAGAAGGTAAAGATCAACTACTATGGTAGAAGGTAAGGGTCAGCTACTATGGTAGAAAGTAAGGATCAACTACTATAGTATAAGGTAAGGATCAACTACTATGGTAGAAGGTAAGGATCAACTACTATAGTATAAGGTAAGGATCAACTACTATGGCAGAAGGTAAGGATCAACTACTATAGTAGAAGGTAAGGGTCAACTACTATGGTAGAAGGTAAGGATCAACTACTATAGTACAAGGTAAGGGTCAACTACTATAGTTGAAGGTAAGGGTCAGCTACTATATTACAAGGTAAGGGGTCAACTACTATAGTACAAGGTAAGGGTCAACTACTATGGTAGAAGCTAAGGGTCAACTACTATAGTACAAGGTAATGGTCAACTACTATAGTTGAAGGTAAGGATCAACTAGTATAGTACAAGGTAAGGGTTCAACTACTATAGTACAAGGTAAGGGTCAACTACTATGGTAGAAGCTAAGGATCAACTACTATAGTACAAGGTAATGGTCAACTACTATAGTTGAAGGTAAGGATCAACTAGTATAGTACAAGGTAAGGGTTCAACTACTATAGTACAAGGTAAGGGTCAACTACTATGGTATAAGCTAAGGGTCAACTACTATAGTACAAGGTAATGGTCAACTACTATAGTAGAAGGTGTTGGTCAATTATTATGGTTGAAAGTAAGAGTCAGCCATCATGGTAAAAAAAAAAAGGTTAGTTTTTGAGAAAAGCAACAATAGACACTTTTAGTGCAATCCAGGAAGTAATGTACTGTTTTGTAATAAAAAATAACCTTTGATACTTTTCAGTTTTTAGATTGAGAACTTGAAACAATAAACTGAATTACATAAAATTAATTTAATTTAAGAAACTATAAGAATAATAACAAAATAATCACTATGAAACTAAAATATATATATATATGTATTACCATTCTTTCCTGTTGTTTTATTGTCTCAATATTAAGTGGTTTATCCAAAAAACTGTTATTTTCAAGGAAGGGTTTTTCAGTTGATATCTTTGCTGTATTTTCCACTTTGCCAGTGGAGTCCAAGCTCTGTAGTTCTTGCATAATGCTTACTAAAGGCACTTTATTATTGAGTTGTTGGTCTTTACTTTCTTGATCTACTTCAGACTTCACACACTCTGTTGTCCACTTTGTGTCACTGATTCCTGAAGTTTGAGGTTGTGTTACATCTTCTGACTGCTGCTGGTCACTGGTCTTATAATCCACAGAAGCACCCAGTTCTTTGTTGGCTTCAGAGGTAAATGAAGTCGCAATTTCAATGTTCAATTGTTCAAAATCATCAACAAATGTTTCTTTTTCCACACAGGAGTTTTCAGATATTTCATTTCTTGGGTAATCAATGTTCTTTTCCAGTTCAATCTGCTCTATCCTGCTAGTGTTTTTTGGTAACACAGTGTGTTTTGGTTTCTTAGGTACAGGAGGAGGTTTCTTTACCGTTCTCTGTGTATCTAAAGTACTCTTGGTTTCATAAAAAGGAGTTTTATTTTTAATATTTGACTCCCTGGAATCAGTGATACCAGTTGTAAGAGTTATATTTTCAAATTTCGACACTTCCCTCGACAAAGAATTATTAGAATTCATTTCTATTTCTTTCTTATTAATTTTACTGATGTTTTTATCGAACGAATATTCTTCATTTTTGCTCAGCTTTGTCTCTGAATAACCTGGAACATTTCTGCAATTAACATCCTTCTCTCTCTCTGAAAGTACATATTAAATACTTAGTTTTAAACTTTTCAAATAATCATTAACACAGACTATGTATCAAAGACAGAAATTTAAGGTAATACACATAACATCAAAACTAAAACATAAAGTGTATTATACCATAATTTCTACAGACAAAGTGAGTACAACCAACTGAATAATGTGTGATAATTAGAATGTTGTGAAATCATTAAATAAAATGAAGAATTTTTACTGCAGAGGTCTAGTTCTAAATATTATTTTTAAGTTAGTGTGAAATGTTTTAACCTCAGAGTAAGAAAATAATTACCTCACTGATAAAAAATATTATTTTTAAGTTATGTGAAATGTTTTAACCTCAGAGTAAGAAAATAATTACCTCACTGATAAAAAATATTATTTTTAAGTTAGTGTGAAATGTTTTAACCTCAGAGTAAGAAAATAATTACCTCACTGATAAAAAATATTATTTTTATATTAGTGTGAAATGTTTTAACCTCAGAGTAAGAAAATAATTACCTCACTGAAAAAAAGTACAAATAAAAGCCATGAATTTTGTGAAGAAAAGTGTTGATAAACTAGGTATAATTATTATTTTTCAAGTAAATACATTAATTTCATTGTACGTTTTCCACTGATAAAATGAATATTATGTTATTCAAGATTGTATAAACAACAAAGTGCTTTTTAGTAAGAACCTTTTTTTCTCAAAGTTTAGAACTTCTGAATGGTGTACTCTGACTGTAATGACCTAAATCAGTGCTTCTTAATCTTTTCCAACATCATTCACCCCTATAAGTTTTCACAACAGCTCACTCAGACCAGTTCATAAAATAAGTACTAAATTACTAAATTAAACTACAACTAGAATGAATACAACACAAAATAAATAAAAAAGTTTATTTATCAAACTATAACTAGAATAAATAATAATAACTAATGACTTTTTTTGCCCTTGAATTTGTTGTATAATTGATAATACTCATTTACCCTACCATTCATCCTGATTCTGATCTCGTTAACCCCTGAATGAACCATTCACCCAGTTGAGAAGCACTGACCTAAATAACCTTATGTCATATTGTAAAATGTATAACAAATGGCAGTGTGACCTGGAACACGTAACTGACATAGCTTTCTTGAAGGTATCAACAATAAAGGTGTTAAGAAATCTGTCCTAACCAAAGTTTGAATCCAGGACTGTCATCTTATACCAGTATTGTATCTATTCACTCAATTAATGCATCTTTAGGCCATCAAACAACTCAGTTATCCTCCAGTCCAGAGCTGAGACCACAAGTACACAGACTGTTTGATTTACCATACAACCTTCAGTGGTGAGACAATCACTAACTGAACACCAGTTGTTTAGGAAACTGCTCTGACTAGGACTTTACTCTAACAAATACTCTAACCATTGAGGTAGCAAATCTAAATTCTTATACAGATAACACCATAATCTGAGTATTATACTTACTAATTTGCAAGATTTATAAGAAACAATAGTTCAACTTGTTTGTTTGTGGTATATACAAGGAACAGCTATCTGAACTGTCAGACTGTGACATATACACAAACCAACAGTGTGAGTCATCAGTTTGTGACATTCAAGCAACTAATTGACTTGTTGATATTTGAAATCAAAGAAAAAACTGAGTTGTCCATTTTTGACATACAAGAAGCAACTAACTGACTTGTCAACTTTTGACATACAAGAAATCACTGTTTGATCTGTTCATATTTGACATAACAAAAACAACTGTGTGAACTGTCAATATTTAGCATATGAGAAACAACTGTCTGACCTGTCAGTCAATCAAATACACAAGACATAACAGTGCTGTTAGTCTTAAGCATTGTTCTTTAAGTTTCAACAGCGTGTATGAAAAGTTGGCATACCTTAGTGAATTATGCATTGAATTAGCTATGAAGCTATACATGAAATTACCAATAACTCAGTTCTAATATCCCAGGTAACAATTTCACATTACATTTTGTTCATGAATGTGTTTTTCAAATAGCTTAACTTTACAGAATTTTTTATAAACATTGCATCCCGTTACATTCAAAACATATTTAAATGGGAGTTTGTACCCTTACCTTTATCAGTAGAAAATGGTCGCCAAACAGCAAGTTCTAGCAAGCCCGTATACATAGATTGTTTTATAGCAAATACCAGTGATGAGTGGGATCTGCCTTTAGTTTTCTCTCCATTAATAGCCCACACCTGGTCTCCCACTCTTAAGCCAGCAAGGTCACTTGCACTTCCTGCCAAACAGTAAAGAAAACTAATGTTAAGCACACAGACTTTCAGATGTTGTAAAAATAAATTACATGTACATCTTATTTCCATATGTTATCCTAATGCATGATCTCCATAAATTTCCTGGTTAATTGCCTTTTTTTTCCTTTATTCAACCAATTTTATAAAAAGAAATACAAGGTTAAGGAAGTGTAAATTAAAATATTTACTGGAAATATTACACAGTGAAGTATTTTTCCCACCATCAATAAGCTATTTTTCTGTCCCCTTTCCTACACACAACAAAAACCACTACAGTAAAAAAAAAAAAAAGACAGTATAGTTTCACAATTTTAAACAAAGAAACAGCAGCAGTACAAGATAAATTTAATTAAGTGTTGTACATTCCAAAATTAGATATGTTATAAATATTAAAAGTTGCATGTAATGCAGAATTAACTTGGATCTATATATATGTGACTTTTTTAAAACTTGCTTATTTATTTGTTATTCAACAGATAAGTAAAAAAGTGTTTAATTCTTGGTTACTTTTAATCAAGTACTTTGGAATGAAAACATTTTAGAAAATAATGCAAAACATGAGTTCAGACAAAAAATTTCCACATACCAGGATCCACTGATTCAACAGTAAACGAAGTGTCATTTTCTTTAATTCTGAATCCAAAATCTTTAATTCCATTGTCTTTTCTCAGCCAGAGATGAAGATACAACTCAATACCATCACACTGTTATTTACCACATTGAATAAGACAAATTTGTTTAAAAAGTATTTCTGGATCCATATAAAATAAAGATACAAACTACATACTAAATCTGTTTATGCTAACCAATAATACTAGAGGTATTAAATGCACTTTACATGACATATTATTCAAATGTATGTATTACCAATAAAATGAAAATTTAAATTGATTTTCAGGTGTGTGTGTAATCAAAAGATCATGTGAATGTTTTCAGCACATCTGGTATGATATCCTAATATGACAATTTCACTAAGAACGTCTTTAATGTGTTTTGTAATTGAGATACATTTATTTTCAAATATGAGCATTAAATGAAAATGTCCTGTACGTAGCAACTTTGATCTGATTGGTTATCGTTAGGTTCACTGAGCTACATTCAGGCTTAATTGTTATTGATACAATAAATGTTTCATTTTAAAACCTTACACTATTTGTATAGTCTATTTTGTATTCATACATATATATATATATACTGTATTGAGGAGGGATAACTGAAAAGTAAACTGTTATAATCAGGACTTGAACCCAGAACTCCTGACTGATCCCAGGGCTCACCAGGGTATCAAACTTGAAAGACAGCAGAGATCATTACAATAAGTATGATACACAATTTTACATGTAGTCAGAAAAGGTGTGCATATCTACATAAGTAGCAGTAATTTTAGTCAAGGTTATAAAGCAAAAAAAATGACTTTAATCAACTTTATTAGCAAATGTAGATTTTTTAAACTTTAAAACAAACACATTTGGAATATACATATAAAAATAACAAAATAAAATCAACTTCCTATAGAGAACATAATCTAATAAGTTAGTACATGAAAAGCTATAAACACTGAGTTTTAATAAATTCTTAAAAGAACATAATTATGATGTAGAAGATTACAATTTTTTGAAAATCCCTTTCATTTTATTCCAAGAAAAAACTTGCAAATGGTTACTTGTTCAAAATTAATAACCTCCACATTTTTAAAAGATATTTATCTCAATTTTTTTTTACTGGACTAAACATTAATAAAATTATTCCCTTTTGCTTGTAAACATTCAAATTAAGTAACAGATAACACAATGAGACAGAAAATAAATATAAGATAGAATCTTCAACATATTTTCAAGTGAACTCTTGCATTTATCAGTACAGTTAATCCTTTTCTTGGCTAAAGACACAGAACTCAAACCATTACCTTGTGCTGATCATTCTTTGTGACCAGTTGACTTGAGCTGAACTCCTCCAGCAGTTCTGTTCCTGTTGTGAATTCCAAACTATCATCAGCATGTTCTGTTTTGTTTTCTGAAGGACATTTCTCCACAACATTGCTATTGTCTGGACTAACATTACCAAACACGTTGCATGTAATGTGACTGTCCTTTACAGAATCTGTGACTATGAATGAACCACTATCGCTGTCTCCTGTTTCATCTGAACAGAATGCCTTGCTACTTTCTGAATTACCAACTCCACTGCATAAAATATTTTCTTCTTGCAACTGCATATCTATTGCACTGGATGTTTCATCATTAAAATACTTGTCCCTGTTATGCTTAAAACACTGGCTTTTCATTCCATTTTCTTCATATTTCTGTAAAACATACAAAAACGTAAACTAAAACTTTTGACACTTTTTGTACATTTTACTCTAGATTTTACATAAACACGGACATGAGAAATGCATATAAAAGATTCTATCCAATAAACTTAAAAAAATTGTGTTCCTCAAAAACTAAAAACAGCATAGTACATACAGTAATACCACCTGGTCTGCTTCTAAGTGGTCTTAGGGAACACCTCATTTCAACAGAGTCCGTTGCAACCTAGATAAAATATATTGTGTTAATGGTTGCTAGTGCAGATTTGGTCTGATAAAAGCACACCTGACTGGGCAACACTCGCCACGGAGTGGGATCCTGTCAAAAAGAGGTAACAATCCCCAGAAAGTAAAGAAACAAGATTAGTAATGAAGAAACTCACCTCTTTTTATATAAAATCTAGCAGATGTGGTTAAAATAGATACAGAGGATAGTCGAAAACCTTCAGAAACAGATACTTCCAGACCATGTAAATAATGTGAGATAAAGGTATTGAGAGAGGTCCACATACCAGCCCACACGACATCCTCCCTCGGGCATTTCAACCAGGCTGCTAAGGACATAGAAATGTGACAAATCTGATGAGACATGACTTGCAGAAATCTCCTTGCCTCCAAAGTGAGCCAGAATAAATGATATGGATCAATTTTTGTACCCACCTCCTCAAGATAACTGGGGGTAAAGCCCGGGAAATTGAAGGATCCAAATTAATGTAAAAGTCGATAGGTAATAGTGCGGGCAACATTACACTTCAAGGCTCTCACTGGAAATAACAAATGATCGGGATCCGATCGGTCATAGAGGTGAGAAATAGTGGTCAGATGAATTGGGGAAGAGGATTTATCCACTACACTGGCTGTAAGTGTTTTAGGTAAGAAGGACCTGTCTGAGTATCGGAGGACATAGTTAGAATGATAAAGCATCCTGGGCACATGCAGCACAAACAACTCCAACCAGTGATGTCCGCAGGCCAACAGCAACAAAAAATAAACCTTAAGGAAAAGGTGATGCATGGTACATGAGGCTAAGGGCTCAAACTGATGTTGAGAAAGAGCATGTAACACTACCTTAATATCCCAGTTAGCTAACTGAAATGGTCTTTAGGGACGAAGGACTCAAAATGACTTGAGAAGGCCGGAGAGCACTGGGGACTCAAATAATTTCAGTCTCTTCGAGTATTTAAAGGTAGTCAATAAAGCCCTCATATATAAGACGATTGTGGAAGATGCTAAACCCTTGTCAAAGAGCCAGGTCAAAAAACTAGCTATGGTTGGCACTTCTGGATGAAGTGGGTGCAACCTCCTTGCAATACACCATTGTCAATATGTGTGCCATTTCCGTTAATAAATGTAAATCATAGGACTACACAGAGACTGAAACAGATACATGGCAACCTTAGAAGTTAAACCCTAACACCATGCAAAGGACCACATAACCTCCATGCATGCAGATTGATCTTTGGGATAGCTGGGTGTACAATGTCAGATCGTGGCTGCCTCAACAGAGATGGCCAAAGAGGAAGTGGAAGAGGTGGGAACTCCATAAGTTACCGCAGAAGCGGAAACAAGGGTTGAACTGGCCAATCCAGTTCTACCAACAGAACATGACAACGGGTTGTATGAATCATAGCTAGGACTCTGGATAACAGAGGAATTAATGGGAAGGCATAGAGGTGCAATCCCATCCAGTCCTGACTGAATGCATTTATTGTCAATGCCCAAGGGTGATGTACCGCAGACCAAAATGCTGGTAGTTGAGGATTCCAACGAGTGGCAAATGCATCAAACACCGTTGTCCTTAATCAAGAGCAAATCCAATGGAAAACCTTGCAATGCAGCATCCAATCTGTTGGGAGAATCAGGTTTGGTCGAGACAATTGATCTTCTACCAAATTCATCACACTCAAAATATAGCAAGCTAGTAGAATGATATAATGGGAGTGGGCCCAATAAAGAAGATTCAATGTTCAAAAATAAAGAGATCTAGATTGAGTGTTCCCATGATAGGAAATGTAAGACACCACTGTGGAATTGTCGAAGTAAAGCATAATGATTTTTCCCCTTAATAAGTCCAGACCTTGAGACATTCCCTTTGAACAGCAAGAAGTTCTAAGACATTGATGTGTATAGAAGCCATGTTGTCCATTCATAGGCCCTGGAATTCTTGACCATTGAGATATGCACCCTATCCCTGAAGTAAAGCATCTGTGAAGAGATGGATCTCTGGATGAGGTAATGGTAGAGGAACACCCATCGTAGTATTGTTTCGATCTAACCACTACTCAAGATTTAAGATGCTGATCGTGAATAAGGAGATTGTGGAATCCAGTGGATTGCTGTTCATGATCCATTGGTCACATAAAGACCATTGAAGAGATCTCATGTGCACTCATCCCAAAGGAATGAGAGATTCAAGTGATGCCCATATCCTCAAAAGAGAAAGAACCATCTGTGCAATGGGAAAAGGAGATGAGATTAAGAGTTGGACTGCCTGTTCCATAGCATGGAGCCAGATGGGAGTCGGCTGAGCCCAACTGAGATATGTGTTGAAAAAGACACCCAGTTGGACAATATATTGAGTTGGAATGAGAATGGATTTCTCAGTTCTGATAATAAAGCCTGCCTTGGTTGTTTCTGAAAGTAGAATCTAGGTGATGGTAGGCTAAAGCATGTTGTTCCAACAAGCGTGGTAGACAAAGCATAGCTGTTCCTTCACATAAATGAGCAGTAAACCTCCTTACAGGAACTGAAATAATCAAGCGATGGAGGGAGCACTAAGTATTTGCTCCAAGACTTTTCTGCCATCAACGAGGATGCAGACTCAAAAGCAACTGGGGGAAGACCCAAAACATAACACACTTAATTGACCAACTTGAGAAAACGAGCCGGAGGTGACTAATTTAAATTGACCTCATGAGAAGCCGAGAAATTAAAGGCGCTGGAAAAAGCAAATCTAAATTCTCTCCAGAATGTCCAAGATTGCTCGCAAGTGCAGCCTCAGAGCCCCCTAGAGAAACACCACCAAACCAAATATAGGCCTCCATCTCACTACGAATAAAGTCACGGACAGTCTCAACTGAAAGTGCCCCCCCTCCCCCAACTGTTAAGCAACACTAAATATCAGAGGTGGGACAGGAATACACGCTGTATATCAGCTTGCCAAACAATTTTTGTTTTGTTTTCTTTAATGAAAATCAACTAAGTAACATGAAGAATGCTCAAAGTATCTCCAACAGTTGTAGTACAGAGAAACCTGCTAGTGAATGCTTTGCCGAGAAAAAGTGATAATATTATCTAAATGAGATGGTTATATACAGTATCAGGATAGATGGCGCACTGACAAAGGTGGAGAAGGTCATTAGACAGATATCACCAAGGGAAATTAAGTGGAGAAATAAAAGACTGGAGCAAGCGAGAAAAAAATCAGACCAATGCTTAGATGGGCAAAGGAAGAAACCCTGGCAGTTAAGTAATAACTGTAGTGTGAGAGGAGGTACGTTTTGGAAAAACATAATTAGGCCTCTCAAAATGATGAAGTATATATAATACTTATGGGGTTTTGAGTCCATTTTAATTCTCCATACAGTAACTTATATGCTACATAATACTGAATAATGAATTAGAAGTAATGTCATAACATTATTTGCACACCTTGAAATAAAAAGAACTGAAAACCCTATCAAAGTTTACTGCTTTATTTCAAGCATTATTCATGGCACTAAATGGATTCAAAATACTATACTTTAATCAAAGACTGATGCTTATTGCTTGACTTCTTACAATTGGGTGAAGTTTGTGTTTAACATTTAATTGTTTGTTTACGTTGAAGGAAATAAAAGAAACAAATTGTTATAATTCTCCAATTTACATATTTTATTGTAGTCTATACTTTTCATCCATAAAATACCCAAATTATCTTTAAGTATGACATACAGAATTAATGACTGGTCATATTATTGTAAATGGAAAACAATTAAATGTTAAAAGTCGATTAGAAAATATTACTCATAGCTTCACACAACAGAGGATTAATCATGCATTTGAACAATCTGACTAAGTTAATACAGTGGCATGTTGACACAGAGGTGAAATATGGTGCCATATTAAGCACCAACATATTTGGCAAATATTCATTAGAAAATACAGTGCTGCCACAGGTAGACTTAAGGCTAGAGGGGTATAAAATACAGTGCTGCCACGGGTAGACTTAAGGCTAGAGGGGTATAAAATACAGTGCTGCCACGGGTAGACTTAAGGCTAGAGGGGTATAAAATACAGTGCTGCCACAGGTAGACTTAAGGCTAGAGGGGTATAAAATACAGTGCTGCCACGGGTAGACTTAAGGCTAGAGGGGTATAAAATACAGTGCTGCCATGAGTAGACTTAAGACTAGAGGGGTATAAAATACAGTGCTGCCATGGGTAGACTTAAGGCTAGAGGGGTATAAAATACAGTGCTGCCACGGGTAGACTTAAGGCTAGAGGGGTATAAAATACAGTGCTCCCACGGGTAGATTTACGACTAGAGGGGTATAAAATACAGTGCTTTTCTAAAGAGGAATACTTATACTGCAAGAATGTTAAATGATGCAGAGTCAAAAACACAGCACTCTGAAGGCAGCCTTCACTGTTCCCTACAGAAGTAGAAAAATGTGTTTAACAATTAGTTTTGAAACAAAACTCCAACCCAATAAAAAACAGCATACTCATCTGCATAATAAAGATTATGGTTAAGAAAGACAACCCTCCAACCCACAAAACCATAACAAAGAACCTGGGCATATTTCCTGGCAACATTATGTAGTTAATACAGAAGGATTTGAAGGTGACAAAAGTTTACAAGCTTTTAGCCACATCAAAAAATCAGTGTTTTCATCAGTAAACTCAGTGAAAATATCAGAATCATTGTACTCAAACTCCACCACATACTTGTCAAGTCCCTGATGAAGCTCCAATGAACTTCTGTGTCTTTAGTCTGCTTAAACACCATCTTGG